CCCCAAAACCCCAAAACCCCAAAACCCCAAAACCCCGTATAAAACAATAGCTATTGAGAACCAATTAATTTAATATTCTTAAAGATATGGAAGATTTCGTCAAAAAGAACAAAATCCCCTTGCTTGTAGGAGCAGGAGCTCTCACTGCCCTCGGTCTGTATAAGATACTCTGCAGTAAGGGTGGAAGATGCGGCAAGAACGCCCTCGGATTTACTGAAGACCCCAAATTCACTGAAAACGTTCCTTTGTACAAAGAAGAAGCAATCCTCAGAAAGAAGGTCATCTCTAATGTTTCTTATGACCTTGTGCTGGCCTTAAGGAAGGGAGAAAACTTTGATGGACAGATCTTAGTTACCTTTGACGTCAACAACGAAGAGTTTGGTGAAGAAGAACTTTTCATTGACTACCAAGGTTTAGGAATCAAAGATTTGATCATCAATGAAACTTCAGTTGATGAGGGAGATGCTTTCAATGGACAGAGAATCAAACTCAGAAGAAGCCTCTTGAAGCTTGGAGAGACTAACACTTTATCCGTAGTATTCAAATCAAAGTACAACAAAGATGGAACTGGAGCTCATCATTTTAAAGATCCAGAGGATGAAAATGAATACGTCTATACTCAGTTTGAAGCCTTCCACTGTCACAGAGCTTTTCCAGCTTTCGACCAGCCAGATCTCAGAGCTGCTCTTACGTTAAGAACCCTCTCCCCAGAAGACTGGAACGTCATCTCTAATGGACTCGAACAAGGCCTTGTCGATCCAGCCGATGCTGCAGATATTCTTGAAGGCGTATCCAAAGACATCATCGATCCTTACGATGGCCACTACAAAGCCCAGAAGTACAATCCTACTCCAAAGATTGCACCTTATCTGTATGCATTTGTGGCTGGACCCTATGACTTCATCGAGACTAGAGAGAGCATCCCAGGAAGAGACGAGCCACTCTTGATGAGACTCTATTTCAGAAAAACGCTCAGAAAAGATGCTGAAAGAATCCAAGAATATATGTTTGATCCAGTTGTTCGAGGAATCAAATGGTATAGTGAGTTCTTTGGATTCAACTATCCGTATGAGAAATACGACCAAATCTACTGCCCAGAGTTCAAATTTGGTGCAATGGAGAATGTTGGAACAGTCACTTTCACTGAGAACCTTCTCTACAGGGGAAAAGAGCTCACCGAGGCTGATATTACCAGACTTGTAAACGTTGTCCTCCATGAACTCTGCCATCATTGGTTCGGAGATTTAGTGACAATGACTTGGTGGAATGATCTCTGGCTTAATGAGTCCTTTGCTACCTATGTATCCTTCCTTTGTATGTCTAAAGAAGAAGAGCTTGCCAAGCAAAGTCCTAACTTGTGGGTTAATGTCAATAGTTACAAGAACTGGGGATATGCTGAAGACGATCTTGAGACTGGTCACCCAATCTGTAAACAAGCTCCTCATACTGATTCAGCTGATGATATGATTAATGGAATCACTTATGGAAAGGGATGCTCCTTCCTTAAACAATTGTATCACCTTATTGGATACGATACTTTCAGTGAAGCTACCAAGATCTATTTCAAGCGCCACCAGTGGGGCAATACTATCCTGAGCGACTTTTTGAAATGTCTTGATGAAGCTAATGAAAAGTTGCCAAAGGTAACTGAAGGTATCGTAGTCTCTGAGTGGGCAAGCACTTTCTTGAACACCAGAGGTGCAAATACTTTCGATGCAAGCTGGGAGATCGATGACCTCGTCATCACCCAAGAAGTATCTGAATTCTCAGATGGTCTCAGACAACAAAAAATAGATGTCTTGTTCTTTAATGACAAGCTTGAGATGGAAGTTGGATCTGTCTTGACTTCAGAGACTGACAAAAGAGTCAGACTTTTGCCATCTAAGCCAACTAAATATTTCCTTTTGAACCACGGAGATCATGCTTATGGAAAGATTATCTTGAGTGATTTCACTATTGATTTCTTGCAGAAAAACTTAAGCTCTCTTCCAGATTCATTGGACAGAGCTCTTGTATGGAGAGCTGTTCAAGGAATGGTTAAGACAAGACAACTAAAGTCAACAATCTACTTTGACTATGTTGTTAATAACATTGCTAAAGAAGACCAATCAATGGTGACTGAGTCGGTCCTTACGACTGCAGGAATGCTTGTTGGTGCATATGTCCCAGACTCTAAATTCAAGGATGTCTCTAGTGATATGTTTGAAGTACTCTATAAACAAGTATTGATAGAGGAAAGAAATGATTTGAAGAAGCTTTTTGTAAATGCCCTATTCAGTTTCTTGCATAATGATGCTCATGTTAAGCAAGCAGTTGCCTGGCTTGAAGCTGGACACATTCTTAACTCTCATGGTAACAAAATCGACGGTACTGATCTGTCTGCCAACCAGAAACACTCCATTGTCAAAGCCATTCACAAGAAGACCATCTTCAGTGCTGAAGAAAAACAGAAGTTCTTGGACACAGTTCTTGGAGAGGACAAATCTGATGTGGCCACCAACTTGAGACTGAGCTGTGAGGCTTTGTTGCCATGTGCTGAGACAAAGGAAAAGGTATGGGCTAAGATCACCAATGTTGACAGTGGGCTCTCCTCATATGAAAGAGCAGCTTACATGTCATGATTCTTCAACAGAGATTCTGAAAAGATAGTCAAGCCATACTTCGAGAAGTTCATTGCTCATGTAAGAGAGTGTGCTAACATCGGTGACAGAAACTACACTGCCCAGTTCATCACAAATACATGCCCATCATATGCTATCAATGATGATTTCATCCAAAAGATGAAGGATATTGTCAAAGATCATAAAGAGGATGTCAAGCATGAGTCATATTCCAGAACAGTGAACAAAGTTGTTGGAAGTTTGGAGATTGGCAAGAAAATCAAAGATTTTGCTCTCGAGTAATTCCTATGTTCAATCAAGAATAGACAGTCCGGGGTTTTGGGGTTTTGGGGTTTTGGGGTTTTGGGG